TTCGCTCATTTGCTTGATTGATATAATGCCACGGAAATATGTTAAACATTGGTTACTGTTTGTATATAGCATTTATATATTTTCCAACAAAATTTACAGACAATGAGTTTGATAAAGCGGAAAAGCACTTCATCAATTTGTTTTAAATATCGAGTTACTTTATGGAAAAGAAACATGAAATATAATGTACATATGATGCTACATATGCCAGACTATGTAAGAAAATACGGTGCTGTATGGGCATGGTCAGCATTTCCATTTGAGCATTTTAATGGTATAATAGCAAAATGTTTCATGGAAGTCAATACGTGCCATCACAAATTTGTAAAATTTATTCCAGAATAAGATATATAAAAAAAATTCAGAAATCTTTAGTAAGCCTAATTGTAGTAAAGAAGGAAAAAAATTGTTTTAAAAACATTATGAAAGAAACTAAATTATAAAATGTATAAGATATGGAGATGACTTGAGAATATTTGGAAAACCTGCAGATATACTTTATCATTGTCTCAAAATTGTTGGTTGAGCAGTTATTACAAGAAACAATAACAGAAAACGTTAAGTTATTTTATAGATTTTCTTATAAAAATACTTTTATCATAGTTACAAATATTCCGTCTTATTAAAAGAAACAATAGCACAGTGATATTACATAATGGAAAATTAATGCTAATTTCAGGTCTAATTTTAATTAATATACTAGAAACAACACACTATATTGTCCTTGGTAAAAATTTCAAATATTAGACGAAGAACTTTGTAAGCACAAAGGTATATCAACGAAATGTTTTTTCATTTATAGCACGAGAAACAAATAATGATATTATTTGTTTTCCTTCAGACTTTGATAAAAAGTGTTGTAGTATATTTTATAAAGAAGATAAATTATATATGTGCCTTTGGTAAATACTGTAGAAATGATTAATCATATTTTTTATTATTTTAATCATAAGTGTGAAATTCTTTATAAGTTTAAATTTATATATTCTTGTATGTGTTTAATATAAATAATATTGTATTGTAAACATAAATAGTAGAACTATTTATTTTTTAAATATCATAAATTGTATTACAACTTATCATTTTGTCTGTGATAAATCGAGAATTGACTGATAATACTGGTTATGTTTCAAATGTTTTATATTATATTATTACACATGCCATTGTAATAATATTTGTGAAATACAAATATATTAAATCTGATTACAGTCTCATTTCTTTGTCACTGAAATAGATAATTAAATTTTGCTCGAATAATTCATAAATAGTTTTTGTTACAATTGTTCATAGTTCTTGACGAAAATACTACAGGGAATGACACTATACTTCACGAATAGGTTTACAATAGTTTTTTAATAGTGTTGCAATACGCACACAAAGTATTCCCGTATTTTTCAATAGTGTTTAAATAGTTTTTCTATATTGCTCTCAGTAGTTTTCCAGTATTTTTTTCTTATAGTTTCCTTATAATATTTTTTTCATACGGGAAGATCGAATCTCACAATCATATATATGGTGTACAAGTAATAGTATATATATACATATATAGTGAGTGTTAATTATTTAATTTAGGGCCAATTTCACACCGACGTCGATTAATTATTAACTTATTTAACCTCCAATTAACTTATTTAACCTCTAATTAAATTATATTTTTGTCTCTTTTCAGATTCGTTCTTAAAAAGAGACAGAGATTACTTTAATCGGAAGTTAAAGTTAATCGACATTGTGATGAAATTAGCTCTTAAATATATAATTAAATGCATATATTGCAGCGATTGCTGTGAAGAAAATAGTCGCGTTCAAAAGAACAATTGTGAAGTTGTCGTCTTGTCGACACTTTACGTTGATTTGTTGGTTCTAGAAGTAAGAACCAATCACGTTCGAGTGCAACTGAGCGGATCGTTCGGCTTTAATGTCTACAGATGTCGCGAGTATCAGGTTTCGCGCGCTTTTCCTGCGTTATTCTCCCGCCAAATCAAGTACGTCTCGCCAGCCATAAAGTCGGACATATCGTGCTAATTGTCGCGCGCTCATTAACTATATTGTAAGTGTCGTGATTAGTACGGGCGCACATAATCGTATTTAATTGATTTTGCGAGTGCGCGCTTAATATTGTAATACATTTTGTTTTCGATAGATGAATATACTACAAAGAAATATAATAATTACAGTGAAATAAGAGAGGAGAAAGTTCGGAGCAGCATTAACTGACGGTGGAGCTCTAACATGAGGTAAATAATTTATTATTTATTTATTATTATTTCGATTATTATTTAATTATTACAACAAATTTAATAAAAAAAAATTTAATACGCGAGATAATTCAGTTTGCTAATTTGAACAAAATATTTTTACATAAAAATCTATAAAGATTTTAATTTAAAAAGTAATTTTTCCAAATTTATAAAATTATTTAATTATACATATATCTATTTTATTATCATTGAACGGATTGAATATACCATTCTATTCAATTAAAATTTTATATTCCATATGTGTACAATAATAATTTTCTTGAAATATTAAATTATTTGGAGAGCTATGCTACAATTTAAGTTTAATTTATATGTTACAGGTTATAATAACGTATATATAGTTGATAAAATCGACAAATGAAAAGAAAGGAGGAAATAAAGGACATCGCAAAGATATCCTAGAGTGAGTATTTATTCTTATTCATTATAGTTGCACTAAATTAAAATTTACCTCTTAATTATATTATAAATTAAACTGTATAAAATTATTTAATTGTACTTTTTATTATTGGTATGGAAAAAATAAAATATAATACAATAATTATTGTTTAAAAAATTAGTTAACTTGGGCAATAACAATAATTTTTATTGTATTTACATATTACAGATCAACGTAGCTGACAATATGGACAAATTGAGAGAGGAAGGAGGTCTAGGAGAGGCATCGGGCGCCGGCGAAACATCCTAAGAGTGAGCATTATTTGTTTATTAATTGCAAGAAATTAAAATTTATTAGTTGTAATAATTAACTTTATAAAATTATTAATTATATTTTGTCTTATTGTATACGCATGAAAAAAATTAATACAATAAATTATTGTTTAAAAATATATAGTTATCTGAGCGCTACTATAATTTTTTTTATTATATTTATATGTTACAGATCAACATAGCTTGCAGTTTATTCCATCGTTGCGCATCGATTGGTGAATAATTAATAAAACTATTATTTTATTTCGAAGTAATTGTTTTGTAGAAATTAGAGTAGAAATGTAGATTTAGATTGTGTAGATTGTAGACTGTAGATTGTAGAATATATAGAGACATTTTCCCATATTGCTTTAAATGAATGGATTATTTTGGAATATATATTTATATATAAATATTTAAAAATTAAAAATATTTCAGTTAAAAACAGGATAAGAAACATATTTTAAAAAACATTTTATAAAATACATAATAAGTAACAGTTAATTTAACTTAATTTATATTTTATAAAAAAACACTGATCATTTGAATGATATTAAATGTAATTAGAAATGTGTGATTATAGATTATTTATAAATTATATTATAATTACTTATTATAAATGTACTTTAATGTAATTTTTATGTTAATAGTTTGTAATCCATTCATTTATTTAGTTGTTAACTGCACACCAGTTAAACGAATATTTAATTAAATTAAGATAAGGTGAATTTACAAAGTTATTGCGAGTTAAAATATATTTTAACATGAGTAAAAGAATAATAAGAGAAATACCCATACAGCATGGAATATTTCTTGAATGTTCTATGAATATTCTTTGGAATATTCGTGAATATCTTTTGAATGTTCTATGAATGTGCAAGGAATGTGCGATGTCCCGCTTTGAATGTTCCTAGAAATTTCTATAATTATTCTTGAATAATCCTACAAATGTTTTATAAATATTCCCGAATATTTTATATTTTTTTAAAATATTTCGGAATATTCATACAACATTTATAGATATTTGTAGAAACATTCGAAACGGAACCTCATATTCTATGTATATTTATAGAACGTTTATAAGATATTCGCAAATATTTTTAAAATATTCTGGGAATATAGATATTTTTCTTAATATATTCAGGAATATTCACAGGACATTTATAAATTATTCGATAATATTTATAAAATATTCAATGCGAGACAGTAAACGTTCTATGTACATTCTAAGAATAATTACAGATTATTCATGAATATTCTAAAAAATATTTATAGGATATTCTATGCTGTATTTATAAATATTATTATAATTTATAAATATTATTGAAGTACAGAGAGAAAAGGGATACGTAAAATTTAATAACTGAAGTTTTAAGATTATATATATATATATCTATACACATTTATTTAAAACTATATAATTCTCTCTCTTAATATTAATATATTTTTTAAAATAAAGCTTACACATATATTTCAGTTGAGATCTTCGATATATATACGAGTATTTCTTTTTTCTTTTGAAATATATATATATATATATATTTAAGTAAATAATATTGATATATTACTATTACATTATTTAAAAATTTTACTGGTAATAATTGTTCTCTCATACATGTCAGAATTAATTTTATACTTAAATAAAAAACATTTCTTCAATTTTTTATCTTAAATAAAGACTATCATTATTATTATCAATTTAAAAGAAAAACGTGAATTGTTTTCCTTTAAAATTAAAAGAAAAAAAATTAAAAAAACATATATATCTTCGATTCTCCCTTACATGTCAATAATATACTTTAAGAGTTTTACTATAAGTTTTTGAATTAAACTTAAAATATTCGTATTTTTAAAGCAAAATAAAATTAATTATAATAATTATTGATAAAATCTTACTGAAGTACATTATATTTAAAAACATAAAATAAATTATACTTGTTTTTTGCACAAAAACTATCACGGTTATTAAATTTGTACTTTAGAGTAGTAGTTCTTCAAGAAACTTTTAACATTTTTAATGTTCGCTATTACACGAACGATTGGCTTCATTTTGCTGTGTTGGTTTTGTTTTTAATTTGGCTTTTACCAACCAAGTTTTAACGATGTTTATAATTTCATCATCTGTTATAATTACAGGACTTTTCCGTGTAGTAAGTCTTACGGATTCTGAAATGATAAGGAATCTTATATTTTGATTGTTTTATTTAAATACTAGCAAATTTCTTTAAAACTTTTTTTTACTGCAATTTAAACATTTCTAAACAAATAAATTTCACTAAAATGTTGAATCTGGTGTGAATTCCCAATGTATTAATTATGTATTAATTACTTTAAAACAAAAAATAAAATATAACTTTCCTAAACATATCATAAAGAAATTAAAATTATATTTGTATTACTTACTTAGTATTTTATAATTATACTTTCTATTTCCATATACTGATAATATAATAAACACGTGCTGTGACTTGTGTATAACCTCTTAAATTATAGGTCTTACGAATTTATATTTAGAAATAAATTTAAATCTATAATTTATATCTAAAAATATTAAAAATTATCATGAAATTATCTACAATAAACCATATTTCTAAAAATTACTTGGTACTCATAAAATTAACGTAGATAATAGATTTTTTACGAACGATTATACATACTTTCCTTCCTTCTTCCTTCGAGATTATTAACACTGGCAAGCTCAAAGCCTGTTTATATTGACCAAAACAGTGGTGTGGTAGCAGATTCCTATGCAGTCTTAGCCTCCCAAAGAGGAAATCAGAACAAAACGGGACAGAAACACATTCAGACTTGCTCACTGAACAATATACGTACGGCTCTTGATTCTTGATGCACACGCGACACGCGATGGGCGCGATGGCTGGACAGAATGCGCGCGAGACTGAGTCGCACATGCGCAACAGTAAAAACAATTAACTAGCAATATATGTGCGCAGAAAATTTGGTGGGCACAAATAATATCATTTAACTATTTCAACTGATTGATATCCATTCAACTTATTTTGAAAAGTTAAAAGTGAAGTAAAAAAGATGTATTAATAATTAATAATTATTCTCATAAAGCATAAAAACTTTAAAGAAAATTTCTTAAATATTGAAAAACTTTCAGAAAATTTTTACGAATGACCAATGACATTTTTTCGCCTGTATAGATATATTATATTTGCCTGTGTATAGATACTCCATTGAAACAATTATATTTACTTCTAAATATTTTTATATATTAATGTTGATTTCTATATACAGCATATATACAGCACAGAATTATCTGTGAATGTGCTATAAACATTGAATAAGTATCCTAATATTCCATGGGTCATTCAGAATATTCTATAGAAGTTCTATGAATATTTCATGGAATTTTGTCAATTCGGAATGTGTATATAATATTCCCGAAATATTCTAATAAATGTAGTACATTTGGAAAATGCGTGGAATGTTTTATAAATATTCTGATAAATGTGGAATATTTAGAATATTCGTAGAACATTCTGCAAATATTTGTAAAATATTTATAGTATGTGCTATAAACATTTTGAAAAATTTTCTAAAATTTACTATGAATATTTTGATAGTATTCTACAAACATTCCGATGAACATGAATATTCAGAATATAAATAGAATATATTTTTAGATATTAATGAAATATTGCTGGAACATTCTATACACATTTTAGAAAAATATAGAAAACCTTCTGATTGTTCTATAAATATTTGATGAATATTCTTGGAACATTCTATTAATATTGTAGAAACTTTATTGTTTTCCACAATATTAATAGAATGTTCCAAGAATATTCTTCAAATATTTATAGAACATTCAGAAGGTTTTCTATATTTTTCTAAAATGTGTCTAGAATGTTCCAGCAATATTCCATTAATATCTAAAAAATATTCCATTTATATTCTGAATATTTATGTTCATCGGAATGTTAGTAGAATATTATCAAAATATTCATAGCAAGTTCTAAAAAATTTTTCCAAATATTCATAGCACATACTATAAATATTTTAAAATATTTGCAGAATGTTCTATGAATATTCTAAATATTCTATATTTATCAGAATATTTATAAAACATTCCACGCATTTTCTAAATATACTACATTTGTTAGAATATTTCAGGAATATTATATACACATTCCGAATTGACAAAATTCCATGAAATATTCATAGAACTTCTATAGAATATTTTGAATGACCCATGGAATATTAGGATATTCATATAATGTTTATAGCACATTCATAGAAAATTCTTTGCTGTATGGGTAGTGATAGGAAAATTTACAATATTATCTTAGAATTTTTAGTCTAAATTATATTTATTTTATTTTACAATTACGGTACAGTATCGCGTAGTTTCATCAAATAATTACAACAAACCGCGTTAAGTCGAATTCTCGTGATGCCGTAAAAAAAGTATTCTTTTATTAATCAATTCAATATTTATAATTTTAATATTAATTTTTAATTCATATATACATTTATTAACGTTAATATTCATTAAACGAGGGAAAAGGAAAAAAATATTAAATTTTAGTAAAATAATTAAAGCATGTCTGTGACGACATAATGATCGACACAAAATTGTGTTATTAGACAAATTAATGCGACGCGATGTAAGCATTCTAGACATTCGAATGCCGTGCAAAATGTTGCGTATTTAAATGCGGGAGTGTCGCGTACAAAGTATCGCGCGTTTAATTTAAGTGCGGGAGTGTCGTGCAGTGTCGCGCGTTTAGTGCGGGAGTGCCGTTTAAAGTATCGCGCGTTTAAATATCAAAGGACTTTAATAATGGACAATCTTGATCAACCTGAGAGGAGGAACAGGTCTAGGAGGCATCGGGCGCCGGCGAAGCAACCTTGTGGTAAATATTTTATTATTTATATACTTATTTTATTATTTATATTACTTATTATAAATTGCATATAATTTTATTTCTATATTTGAACAAGAGAAAATTAGAAAAAAAATTTTATATATACAAATTTATATTATGTTATTTTTATTAAAATGTAGTTTTTAAAATTTCTTAAAATTAATTAATTATATATATTGTTAATTATTGTGTGCGTTAAATAAAATGTAATAGATGCAATGATAATTTTTAGAAATATTAATTATTTTACATTGCTATAATTTGAATTCTATTTGTATGTTACAGATCAACATAGCTTCGCGATGCAGTCAACTTCGCTGTTACGTGTTTCTCTCCATTGGTGAGTGAATATTATTTTATTACGAGGTAACGGTTTTATAAAAATTAGA